CACAGGCCGTGTTTTTCTTCTTAAAAAATTATGTACCAATCTCAGGTGAGTTATATTACCTAAAATAAGTTGTTTGCATGCTATTTCTTTATATTTGTGCTGATATGTCCAATTACGGTATATAGCAGTTTTGGTACACCATGCAACGGTATGACCATGACATTAGCTTGGACTGCTCTATGGTGACTTTTCTGTAGTATAATATTTAGTTGATAGAACAATTCCTAGGTAGACTCTAGTCAACTGTTGGTTCTTACACTAGCTTAGTTTTGTTTGTTTTTCATATTTTTCATAATATGTAAATTATAGAAGAAAAATAGTGTCAAAATCTAAAACAATAATTATAAAAAAAAAATCATAAAAAAACGTTTTAATAACAAGCTTTTATGTAATAGTGCACTAAACAGTAGAAAATAAATTATAGACTACTATTTAAATAACTAGAAAGAAAAGCGTGGGTCACTTTAGTATCTATGGGATACCTTTACTAATGTTAAGGAAGACACCCACGCTTTTCTTTCTAGTTATTTAAATAGTAGTCTATAATTTATTTTCTACTGTTTAGTGCACTATTACATAAAAGCTTGTTATTAAAACGTTTTTTTTTATGAATTTTTTTTTCAGTACTTTACATGTTTTATTTACAATAGAGTTATATGACTAAAAATCATTGCGCGCCTACTGAACGTGATGTCGCAGCCATTGAACGTGATGGCGCAGCTATTGAACGTGATGACGCGTGTGGTGTGGTCGGATAAGCATGCCTACTAATTCGGTCCAAATTTTAATTAATTCATAAAAAATTAATTAGGCATCCAATTAAGTCAAATTTAATTTCAGATTGCATTGTCTTCATGTCTTGACCCACGTGCCAAATATGAATCGTATCGGTCAAGTAGACGTGTCCGAATTTTCACTCCAGCATTTCGATCTAGACAGACAGACTGACGACTGACGACAGAGGAAGCTAGTTAAATAAAACATTTCATAAAAAACGTTTTAATAACAAGCTTTTATGTAATGATGCACTAAAAAGTAGAAAATAAATTATACACTACTATTTAAATTACTATAAAGAAAAGCGTGGGTCACTTTAGTACTTTAGTACCCATTGGATACATTTACTAATATTTGAGAAGAGACCCACGCTTTTCTTTATAGTAATTTAAATAGTAGTGTATAATTTATTTTCTACTTTTTAGTGCACCATTACATAAAAGCTTGTTATTAAAACGTTTTTTTATGAAAAAAAATTTCAGTACTTCACATGTTTTATTTAGAATAGTGTTACATGACTAAAAACCATTGCGCGTCTATTGAACGTGATGGCGCAGCTATTAAACCTGATGGCGCAGTTATTGAAAGTGATGACGCTTGTGGTGCCGTTGGATTGACATGCCTACTTATTCGGTCCAAATTTTTATTAATTCATAAAAAATTAATTAATTAGGCATCCAATTAAGTCAAATTTAGTTTCAGATTGCATCGTCTTCATGTCTTGACCCACGTGCCAAATGTGAATCGTATCGGTTAAGTAGAAGTGTCCGAATTTTTACTCCTGCGTTTCGATCTAGACTGACGACAGACTGTCGACTGACGACTGACGACAGAGGAAGTGAGTTAAATAAAAGCTTGTAAAAATATATGTATACTAATTTTACTTAGATTTAGCACTTACTCAGCACTGTGTACTGTGGATGGATGGACGGACAGACGGACAGGACAGGACAGGATAGGATAGGACAGGACAGGAAGAACAGACAGTAAAACATTAGTGTAGTCTGTCAGCTGTTTCTGAAACCCTGGGACAGACTGACAGGCAGGCAGGCAGGCAGGCAGGCAGACAGGCAGGCAGGCAGGCAGGCAGGCATGCCGGCCGACCGACCGACCGACCGACCGACCGACCGAACGACCGACCGACCGACCGACCGACCGACCGACCGACCGACCTACCTTAACACGCCGAAAATTATATTAGGCATGTTTCTACCCACACTTGTTCATAGTCGTCTTCGCTTACGTCAACGCCTTAATTCGTGTTTTCGTTGATTTGTATTGCTGTCTGCAATCTGCCTTGCAAAAGTTGTATTGATTACACAAGTCAAAAAACACACACACACACTCAAGCTAAATAACATACACATACTCAAGCTATATTACACACACACGAGCTAAATCACACATACACATCCAAGCTACTGTGTGGAAATGTTGCATTTTCAAACCATGCTGCACAATATTACAAAGCAGGATGAGCTAACGATAATAAAGATTTCAAGGTATAGAGAGCTTAATCTGCTTATACACCCACACCCACACCAACACATACACCCACACTAACACATACACCACACTAACACATACACCACACTAACACATACACATACACCCACACCAACACCAACCCATTCACCCACACTAACACATGCACCCACACCCACACTAACACATACACCACACTAACACATACATTAACACCAGCACATACACCCACACTAACGCAAACACCACATTAACACATAGGCCCTATGTGTAAGAAAAAACGAAGACATCGCATTGTGTACATGTAGTCTTACAAGAGTGATGTTGTCTATAAGTGAAGAACATTTAAAAGCATATGAACATTCGTCAATTGAGTGTTGACATTACGTGAGATAAAATATGTTAGGCTAACCTTTATTATTAAATGGGTCCTAGGTGCTTTGACCTCAGGTCATTATGTGTGTTCCATTTATATTTAAGGGTCAACATTTGTGTCCGTTCAAAACACTTAACTTTGGGGAATTTTGGGGCATTAAAACTAGTGTTTTGAACAGACACAAATTTTGAAAATTCATAAAAAATTAGTTTGAAGATATGCACTTAAAATTTTTAGCTGATTACCTCAAAATATGGAAGAAGATTATGAATTGATTGTTTATTGGGCTTAAAATGTAATATTTTGTGAATGGTGGAAAACCTACGAAGGGGTTAATTTTTCAAGATGGCCGCCGTTGTCATAGTTACCAAGATTTTTTCAAATTTTTTTTTAGTGGAAATGCATATGCTGATGTATCTTAATAAAGCTGTAAAGAAATAACTGTTTTCTAACGAGTATTAAAAAAGATTTTTTTACCGGAGCCTTCCCCCTTAAAATAAATCTATGTGGCATAGCACCAGCATTTATGTGGAGACTAAAATATAGTTCTTGACTTTTTTTAAATACATTTTAATTTCTATTAACGTACTCTCTGGAAACATGTATAAAATCGTATTAATTGTATCACACCTATGATCAAAGCCGGACACAGCGCTTGTGATAAAACACCCGTTGATAGACCACCTGTGATCAAAGACCCTCTGCTGAGAAAACACATGTGGTCAAACCCCTATGGTCAAACCCCCTATGATCAAACCCCCTATGGTCAAAGCCCCTATGGTCAAAGCCCCTATGGTCAAAGCCCCGCTGTGTTCAAACCCCCTATGGTCAAACCCCCTATGGTCAAACCCCCTATGGTCAAAGCACCTGTGGTCAAAGGTCCGCGCACCAATATATGGCATTGATCGTATGAATAAAAAAGAGGTGTATGTGTGTAAAAAAACTGTACCTCACAATAACTATTGAGACGGTGTAGTAAAATGTTGTAGGGCTTTTGTTCGAAACCTGACGGTTATTGTAAATTGAATGTTTTACTTTATAGACATTTAACAAAAAGCGATTGTTATGTGTTTATTTGTTGGTGGACAGTTTGTTGGTGTAGTGGACAGTTTGTTGGTGTGGTGAACAGTTTGTTGGTGTGGTGGACAGTTTGTTGGTGTGGTGGACAGTTTGTTGGTGTGGTAGACAGTTTGTTGGTGTGGTGGACAGTTTGTTGGTGTGGTGGACAGTTTCTATATAACACTACGAGAGATGGCAACTCGGTATTTATACATGATTTTTAATCCATTTTCTATCATTTAGACTCAGAACAGGCCACACAAGACTAAAACAGCACCTGCATAAAACAAAAAAAAAAATGGGCGTGGCGAAATATGCCCTTGTGGCAAGGCCCACGAGAATACGGAGCCCGTCCTTCAAGACTATTTATTATATAGACAGGCGCGATCCCTACACTGGCCCCTACACACCCCACTCAAGGAAAATTTATATGGGGCACCTACTGATCTGGAGACCACAGTCCAGTTATTCCACGAAGTTGGGCTTGTTGTTTAAATCCTCCATCATATACTTAATTAAAAACGAAGAAGAAGAAGAATCCATTTTTAATAGAATCTCGTAGAAAAAATATTTTGCGCACCAAGTGAACGCCAAACAAAATGTGTATAATAGTGCGGAATATTATTAGTACTTTATAAATTCATATGCGTTTTGTGAGAAATCGGAAATAGTATAACTTACTACTTCCGATAAATGGAAATAACTTAAAATTTGACAGTAGGCAGATAATTAGATATTTTTGTTATACATGCATGTTTCATATATATCTAAATCACAGTACTCAAGTTATAGACTTAAAAAAAACAACTAAAAGTAGATTGAATTCCACTTCCATTTTTCGGAAATCGTTGAAAAAATTATACAGAACTACAATTTTTATATAATACTTATATATTAAGTTTCATCAACCTAGCTGTAACTGTACTCTTAATTCAATAGTTTAATAATCAAAGGTGAAACTAGTCTACTTGTCAAAAATATACAGGGTGTGAAGTTCTGTCCATTATTTATGTTTCAGGGTTTAATTTCATATAGCCCACTTAGTATAATCAAGAAGGCATCAACAAAATAATGGGCACTTTGTGTTTAATTTACTTCCAATAAATATACATTTATGTGTGAGCACATACACCCTTAATATGAGCACTTTATGCATTGTAAAGATATAAGAGTACAGTCCTGCCTTTGTTATTTTCTAACGTTAAAAGAAAAGGAATAGCAATAAAAAGCTACACACCAAAATACACGAGCCGATATCTTTAACAAAAGTAAGGAGAGTAAGAAGATGTATGTTATGAAGGAAGTTTGAACACATCTGTAGCCTCTCTACATGGACGCACCATTGAGCACCAATAATGAACGGAATGACGAAGACAGTGCATCATCTCTAAGACATCGCCTTCTTCTTCGGCTACTAAATCAGTTGAGTATTTCTTTATTTTATTTGAATTCAAATACATTTAGTTAACGTTATCGTTCGTTAACTAGCTTCCATAATATGTATGTGATTAGTTTTCAAATGCACCAGTCTATAATATTCTATATTTCCAAATGACTGCGCTTTGTATAAAACTTAGAATTTAACTTTGTACAACAAAAGGCAAAGTCTAGCAAGTCAGTTCCTTTTTAATCGCATATATCTAGACTCTAAATCTAGATCTATATTTAGATTCTAGATCTACCCAATCTAGAAATCTAGATTTAGATCTAGATTTAAAATAATCTAAAAAAAATTAAAATGAATAAAAAATACACAATGTAAGCTCCTAGTTGTCATTATACACACGCAAATGTGATTTTGCCACAAATATAGATTAGAAACTAATGACTTTTCAATTTATTTAATTTACACATTGTTGACCAACCTTATTAAATAATTTAGAAGATCTATTTAAGGAAAATAAAACCAGCCTATTTGAGGGAGTTCGTTAGCTGTGATGTGACGTCTTTGGGAAGGTAGTGGGGTTGTAAGGTTGATACTGGTAATGAGTTGGTAAAATCGTTTTAAAAAGCGGGACGTTTAAAGATGACCTTTGGCATGACTCGGGAGGATTAAAAGCTTGTGGCTACTGTAAATTAACGACATAATGTGTCTTAGTGTGTTTGGTTAATATCAGAACGTCGACATAACCTAGGCGACATTTCAATACATTTTGTTTTAAGTCCTTTCACTCACCATGGTCAGTGATACACCACATGTATTGGTCCGTAAATAAACTGACGTCTTGTTGTAGACAAGTATCACATTTTCTCGGTCGTTCCAAAGACATGTGCAGCAGATGAAGTAGAGCTCATCTGTTATAATAATCTCAGCAAAAATGAGATCAGCGTGGTAAGCATTGTCCAGTCACCTTTGATTCCATAACGTGAGTCAGGTACCCATTAGAGCTGGGTAGACTCAGTGATGTCATTTGAACTAATCCGGGATCCGAACTCGAGACTTTCGGGTTAGCGGTCGTACGCTGTACCATCCGACTACACAATTTTGATGTTAAACATACTCCATGTTACACCACGTTTAGTGTACTGTTCATGAACTAATGTGTAATAGATAAATGTTGAGAACTAATGTGTAACAGATAATGTTAAGAACTAATGTGTACCAGATAAATGTTGAGAACTAATGTGTACCAGATAAATGTAGAGAACTAATGTGTAACAGATATCTGTAGAGAACTAATGTGTAACATATATATGTAAAGAACTAATGTGTAACATATATTTGTAGAGAACAAATGTGTAACAGATATTTGTAGAGAACTAATGTGTACCAGATAAATGTAGAGAACTAATGTGTACCAGATACATGTAGAGAACTAATGTGTACCAGATAAATGTTGAGAACTAATGTGTAACATATATTTGTAGAGAACTAATGTGTAACAGATAATTATAGAGAACTAATGTGTACCAGATAAATGTTGAGAACTAATGTGTAACATATATTTGTAGAGAACTAATGTGTAACAGATAATTATAGAGAACTAATGTGTACCAGATAAATGTAGAGAACTAATGTGTACCAGATAAATGTTGAGAACTAATGTGTAACATATATTTGTAGAGAACTAATGTGTAACATATATTTGTAGAGAACTAATGTGTACCAGATAAATGTTGAGAACTAATGTGTAACATATATTTGTAGAGAACTAATGTGTACCAGATAAATGTTGAGAACTAATGTGTAACATATTTGTAGAGAACTAATGTGTACCAGATAAATGTAAAGAACTAATGTGTAACAGATACATGTTGAGTGAGAATTTATGTGTACCAGATATTTGTAGAGAACGTATGTGTACCAGATAAATGTTGAAAATTTATGTGTACCAGATAAATGTTTAGAACTAATGTGTACCAGATACATGTAGAGAACTAATGTGTACCAGATACATGTTGAGAATTTATGTGTACCAGATAAATGTTGAGAATTTATGTGTACCAGATAAATGTTGAGAACTAATGTGTACCAGATACATGTAGAGAAGTAATGTGTAACAGATAATTATAGAGAACTAATGTGTACCAGATAAATGTGGAGAACTAATGTGTACCAGATACATGTAGAGAACTAATGTGTACCAGATAAATGTAGAGAACTAATGTGTACCAGATAAATGTAGAGAACTAATGTGTAACAGATAATTATAGAGAACTAATGTGTACCAGATACATGTAGAGAACTAATGTGTACCAGATACATGTTGAGAATTTATGTGTACCAGATAAATGTTGAGAATTTATGTGTACCAGATAAATGTTGAGAACTAATGTGTACCAGATACATGTAGAGAAGTAATGTGTACCAGATAAATGTTGAGGACTAAAGTGTACCAGATAAATGTTGAGAACTAATGTGTAACAGATACATGTAGGGAACTAATGTGTAACATATTTATGTAGAGAACTAATGTGTACCAGATACATATAGAGAACTAATGTGTACCAGATAAATGTAGAGAACTAATGTGTACCAGATAAATGTAGAGAACTAATGTGTACCAGATACATGTAGAGAACTAATGTGTATCAAATAAATGTAGAGAACTAATGTGTACCAGATAAATGTAGAGAACTAATGTGTAACAGATAATTATAGAGAACTAATGTGTACCAGATAAATGTAGAGAACTAATGTGTACCAGATACATGTAGAGAACTAATGTGTACCAGATAAATGTAGAGAACTAATGTGTACCAGATAAATGTAGAGAACTAATGTGTAACAGATAATTATAGAGAACTAATGTGTACCAGATACGTGTAGAGAACTAATGTGTACCAGATAAATGTAGAGAACTAATGTGTACCAGCTAAATGTAGAGAACTAATGTGTACCAGATAAATGTAGAGAACTAATGTGTAACAGATAATTATAGAGAACTAATGTGTACCAGATAAATGTAGAGAACTAATGTGTACCAGATACATGTAGAGAACTAATGTGTACCAGATACATGTAGAGAACTAATGTGTAACAGATAAATGTAGAGAACTAATGTGTACCAGATAAATGTAGAGAACTAATGTGTAACATATATTTGTAGAGAACTAATGTGTACCAGATAAATGTTGAGAACTAATGTGTACCAGATAAATGTTGAGAACTAATGTGTAACAGATAAATGTTGAGAACTAATGTGTACCAGATAAATGTTGAGAACTAATGTGTACCAGATAAATGTAGAGAACTAATGTGTACCAGATAAATGTAGAGAACTAATGTGTACCAGATAAATGTTGAGAACTAATGTGTACCAGATAAATGTAGAGAACTAACGTGTTGTCCACCTCCCCAGACTGTCAAGATGGCCGCCTGTGTGCACGCTCTCCTCCTGGTCCTCTTGTTTGTAGCGCTCACCCACGGTACGTGCTTTGTGTTGTTATAGACGTCATTGGACGTCATTGTGTTTTATATACGTCATATGGACGTCATTGTGTTTTTATAGACGTCTTATGGACGTCATTGTGTTGTTATAGACGTCATATGGTGCATCGTGTTTTAATGTACGTCATATGTTGCTCTCTGTTTTTATAGACGTCATATGGTGCTTTGTGTTTTATAGACGTTTGATGGTGCATTCTGTTTTTATAGACGTCATATGTGCACTGTGTTTTTATAGACGTTATATGGTGCATTCTTTTGTTATAGACGGCTTATGGTGCACTGTGTTTTATAGACGTCTGATGGTGCATTCGGTTTTTATAGACGTCATATGGTGCACTGTGCTTTTAAAGACTTTATATGGTGCATTGTTTTGTTACAGACGCCATAGAGTGTATTCTTATATTATGAACCTCATATGATGCATTCTTTTGTTATGGACGTCATATGGTGCATTCTGTTATTAAACACGTCTTATGGTGCATTGTGTTTTTTAGACAACCATATGGTGCATTCTTTTATTATAGACGTCATATGGTGTAATTTGTTTCTATAGACGTCAGATGGTGCATTGTGTTTTTATAGATGACCATATTGTGATTTCAATTTTTTTTCATACTGTTTTGACTTTTATATGGCATACTTTTACACCCGCCCATGTATGTTATACATGGTGATACTACACATGGTGACACTACACATGGTGACACTACACATGGTGACACTACACATGGTGACACTACACATGGTGACACTACACATGGTGACACTACACATGGTGACACTAGACATGGTGACACTACACATGGTGACACTACACATGGTGACACTACACATGGTGACACTACACATGGTGACACTACACATGGTGACACTACACATGGTGACACTACACATGGTGACACTACACATGGTGACACTACACATGGTGACACTACACATGGTGACACTACACATGGTGACACTACACATGGTGACACTATACATGGTGACACTACACATGGTGACACTACACATGGTGACACTACACATGGTGACCCTACACATGGTGACACTACACATGGTGACACTACACATGGTGACACTACACATGGTGACACTACACATGGTGACACTACACAGGGTGACACTACACATGGTGACACTACACATGGTGACACTACACATGGTGACACTACACATGGTGACACTACACATGGTGACACTACACATGGTGACACTACACATGGTGACCCTACACATGGTGATACTACACATGGTGACACTACACATGGTGACACTAGACATGGTGACACTACACATGGTGACACTACACATGGTGACCCTACACATGGTGACACTACACATGGTGACACTACACATGGTTACACTACACATGGTGACACTACACATGGTGACCCTACACATGGTGACACTACACATGGTGACACTACACATGGTGACACTACACATGGTGACACTACACATAAACCTACCCAGCCAATCAATAACCTAAACTTAACAAAGAGAATCATATAAATCTTGTCAACTTTAAATTACACCATAAACCGGTCTCCGCCCTTGACACCAACTCTTACACCAACCCTTACACCAACCCTTACACCAACTCTAGCCATGACCCAAGAATTGACACAAGACCCGAACCTCAGTCAAATCCTATCTTAACTCTAATCCAAAACCTAACTTTATAACAGCTAGATCCATGTGCTGTTAGGTTTAAATTAAAGCCGTTCAAAACACTCATCAAATAAAATGTACTGTTTATTCGCAGTTTTTTTTTATTGATTACAATATAGGGGGCTACACAGGGGCGTAGCGGGGGGGGGGGGGGGGGGTGCGGACCGCACCGGGTGACACCATTTAGGGGGGTGACACTAAGGCAATGCATAGCAAAATATATTGAGAAAAACTTGAGGGGGTGCAAATCGAAAGTTTGAAAGTTTGTCCCCGGGAAGAGTCGCTACGCATCTGGGGGTGTTGACACCATTAAGTGCCTCACCGGGTGACACCCGACCTCGCTACGCCACTGGGGCTACATACTTAGTATAAGTGAGCGGAACTAACAATTGAATGGCTTTCTTCTGACCTCCCACCCCCTCCCCACCCCCACAGGGAAAGCCGTGAAACCAGCTAAGCCAGTAACGGTCGACCCCAGCTGTAAGATAGTGTGTCCAGCTATCCACAACACCGTGTGTGGCAGCGACCACAACACCTACGCCAACCTGTGCGAGTTGAGCAACGCTAGGTGTGACAACCCCCGGCTCAGGATGGTTCGTCAGGGCAAGTGTAGGCCCAAGAAAACTGGTAGGTTCAATGGTAGGTTTACTGGTAGGTTCACTGGTAGGTTTAGTGGTAGGTTTAGTGGTGGGTTTATTAGTTGGTTTAGCGGTAGGTTCAGTGGTAGGTTCACTGGTAGGTTCACTGGTTGGTTTAGTGGTAGATTTATTGGTGGGTTTATTGGTTGGTTTAGTGGTAGGTTCAGTGGTAGGTTTACTGGTAGGTTCACTGGTAGGTTCAGTTGTAGGTTTAGTGGTCGGTTTAGTGGTAGGTTTAGTGGTGGGTTTATTGGTTGGTTTAGCGGTAGTTTTAGTGGTAGGTTCACTAATAGGTTCACTGGTTGGTTTACTGGTAGGTTTAGTGGTGGGTTTATTGGTTGGTTTAGTGGTAGGTTTAGTGGTATTTTTAGTGGTAGGTTCACTGGTAGGTTTAGTGGTCGGTTTAGGGGTAGTTTTAGTGGTAGGTTTAGTGGTGGGTTTAGTGGTAGGTATAGTAGTAGGTTTATTGGTTGGTTTAGTGGTAGCTTCACTAGTAGGTTTAGTGATAGGTTTAGTGGTAGGTTTAGTTGTAGGTTTAGTGGTGGGTTTAGGTTTAGTCGTAAGTTTAGTGGTAAGTTTATTTATTAAATGGTAGGTTTTTCTGGTAGGTTTAGTGGTTAAGTGGTAGGTTTAGTTGTAGGTTGAGTGGTATGTTTAGTTAGGCAAGAAAATCTGGTAGGTTCTCTTGTAGATTTAATGGTAGGTTTAGGGGTGTGTTTAGTGGTAGGTTAAGTTTGATAAGAAAATCTGATAGGTTTATCAGTATGCTGGCCTAGTGTAGACCTCCAGAAAAGCGGGTAGTTTAAGTGGTAGGTTTAGTTGTAGGTTTATTTGTAGGTTTGTCTGAACGCACAGATCATACGTAAGTCTAGAGTTAGGGCTAGACGTTTTAAGTTGAACTAAGTGGGATTCTCATGGGAAAGATTTTACGTACACAGTACCAATAACCGTTACATGTGTGTGTGTGCTATAAACAGTGTGTGCATTGGGAAGTCGTCTGTTTAAAGCGCAGAAATATACTCCATAGTAACATAACATAGACACTGTAGTCCTTTCATTGACTGTTTTTACTTAACATTGACTAGTGTAACCAAATATTTACTGTTGTAACTTTAAATCGACTGTTAAAACTTACCATTTACTGGTGTAACTTCAAAATCGACTGTTAAAACTTACCATTTACTGTTGTAACTTAACATCGACTTGTAAATTTACAATGACGCATCTCTCCAGGAACGAAAAAGAATGGGCCCAAAGTTTGATGGATGTGCAGATGTTGCTGGTGATGTTGTGTAGTATCATCCTGCTGTTGTTTATCAACCCCATGATGTTATATTCAGCTTTGTTACAGTAAGACTTTGGCTGGAAATGAATTTTAATGTTCCCGTTTTTTAACTAAGTTGTTTTACATTATTAACTTTAAAATGAATCATTTAAACATTAACATATTTTAAAACGTTAAAAGCTTAACATGCATAACAATGTAAGTCATGATATGAAAAATAGTCCATCATTTGTATTTTTAAATGTAAATTTCAGCCTGCAATAAATTTACGCAAGAAATATTATGATTTTGTTTAAATTGTAAATAAGATTTTTGATTTGGTGTTTTGTTGTTTGAAGTTTGATACAAAGGTTTCAGTTTATAAAATGTTTGTAGTTTGATACAAAGGTTTCAGTTTATAAAATATTTATAGTTTGGTACAAGGATTTCAGTGGATAAAATGTTTGTAGTTTGCTACAATGATTTCAGTGGATGAAATAAAATGTTTGTAGTTTGCTACAATGGTTTCAGTGGATAAAATGTTTGTAGTTTCATACAGTGGTTTTATTGGATAAAATTTGTAGTTTGATACAATAATTAAAGTGGGTTAAATGTTTGTAATTTGATACAATGATTTCAGTTGATAATGTTTGTAGTTTGCTACAATGGTTTCAGTGGATAAAATGTTTGTAGTTTGATACAGTGGTTTTATTGGATAAAATTTGTAGTTTGATACAATAATTTCAGTGGGTTAAATGTTTGTAATTTGATACAATGATTTCAGTTGATAAAATGTTTGTAGTTTGTTACAATGGTTTCAGTGGATAAAATGTTTGTAGTTTGATACAGTGGTTTTATTGGATAAAATTTGTAGTTCGATACAATAATTTCAGTGGGTTAAATGTTTGTAATTTGATACAATGATTTCAGTTGATAAAATGTTTGTAGTTTGATATAATAGTTTCAGTGGAGACAATGTTTGTAGTTTGGTACAATATTTAAGTGGAGAAATTGTTTCATACAAATTTCGCGACAATATTGAGAGTCGCTAGATCCAACTGATAGCGTTAATATTGAGAGTCACTACTTCAAAAATCTCACACATGAACCGCCCACCACACTTTGCTGGGTGTGTCCGAGTGGTCACATTCAGGACATGGACAAGTTCTGTAGACCAACATCCCTTCTGTGTACTTGATCACTCCACTCCCCAATCCAGTCAGTGTGTGAGTTCTGTCCCCTGGTGTTGTAGCAAGGATACCAATCTTAGTGTCTTATACAAACTCTGGTCTGTCTGGACTAGTGAACTTAACGGCTATCCTGACAGTTAGGTCAGCCATGGCTTTTGTGAGGTCATACACATCGTTGTCATGGTAACCAGAAGGAAAATGTTCAAGACGTAACTGGTTTAAAGGTACAACGTTTTTATGGCCAGGATTTTTCTTGCAGTCTGTCAGGTGTGTGTGTAGATCTATCTCACCTTGACCTTCAAGACATTCTTGTACTTCATGTGTACCTGTTCAGGTAAACAAAACAATTTTATTACTGTAAACATTTCATTAGACGTTAAATTTCGACAAACATAAAACAAGAAAACTACCTACAACCTCCAACTGTCACAACCATCTCAACCATTACCATCTTAAGACACTTATCCAGTAAACATTTCAAACTACAGAATTTTCCAACATAAGGACTTCATCAGTAAAAAACATTTTAAGCATGCCTGTGGATACCTTTTTAATATCTTTCTTAAATGGACATTACCTGTAAAATATGTTACGTCTTCTCCAATGGCCTTACTGTTGTGGTCATCTAGACTATCCAAGTTGATTCCTGTAAAAAAAAAACAACAACACAAAGATTTGACACATTGTCTACACCAGCACTAAACCATGGCTGTACACTTGATTAAGTTAAAAGATAATTAACAAACTTACCTGTAACTTGATGTGACAGATCTCTACTGGCCTTTACTGTAGTCTTATGGTCATCTGTGGCAGCTGTTTGATTGAAATAACCTTGACCTTCACATCACATTCAGCAGCCAACAGTCACTCTGTATAGTTAAAAATATTTTGACTTTTTTAAAAAGAATTACATTAAAATCAACATCAGTTTTGTTTACAAACTACAAAACAATAGCAGCTGGCCAATACAAGATTGAAATCCTTCAAGATTGTCATCTTTAAAAAGTATGATGAAATACATTCTTAGACCAACATGCAGAGGCGTAGCGAGGGGGGGGGGGTGGCGGTGGGTGCGGACCGCACCGGGTGACACCATTTAGCGGGATGACACCTAGGTAAAAAATAGCAAAATATATAGAGAAAAATGATAATTCCACTTAATTAAGTGATTAATTCGAATGTTAAATAGTGTTTTAAGTGGTGCAAATCGAAAGTTTGAGGGTGTGGGGTGCAAATCGAAAATTGAAAGTTTGTCCCCGAGAAGTGTGGCTACTCCTCTGGGGGGGGGGGGGGGGGTGACACCATTAAGTGCCGCACCAGGTGACACCCGACCTCGTTACGCCACTGCCAACATGCAAGATAGAGTGAAACTGAACTTTGAACTCCCCACTTGACTTTAAGACAATATCAGACAGCACACACCACTAAGGAAGATCCTTCAGGCTCTGGAGAGAGAAATAAAATTATAATGGAATTGTCATTAGCATAGAAGTAACGAATGACAGCATTTATGGTGGAACTGTCATTAGCATAGAACTAACGAATGCCAACATTTATGATGGAACTGTCATTAGCATAGAACTAACGAATGACAGCATTTATGGTGGAACTGTCATTAGCATAGAACTAACGAATGCCAACATTTATGATGGAACTGTCATTAGCATAGAACTAACGAATGACAGCATTTATGGTGGAACTGTCATTAGCATAGAACTAACGAATGACAACATTTATAATGGAACTGTCATTGTGAGGTCAGATTAGATTAGGTTAGAATACTCTAGAACTTAGGGGAGAGTGCGTGTGTGAGTTGAGTTCACCCTACTGTGTAGTAGCCCCGGTGTGTTTATGTATGGTTATCCCAAAGTCGAATACGGGTATAAAAGCGCGAGTGAACGATTGTGGGAGGTTAGCGGGTTAGTTGATAGCGGGTAGGACGAGGGCTACTCTGGAATGTATATCTTTGAGACGGAATAAAAGTAGTGAACATAGCCACGAAGCGTTGTCGTTTATCTGACACTAACCTGGACGTAACACTATCCCTAAATGTGTCGAGGTCTTTGAAGCAGATAAAGTGTTTTGAAGATAATGATGAATTGAAGTCTTTATTGGAACTTTAAAACAAGTACATCAACAGAAACATATAATACATAGTTTGTACAATGTGACATATTTAATATTTATAAATATATGGGAGAGAAGACATAAGTAAATATGTTTAGCACTTAAGGTTTAACTTACTACATATAATCATGAGTGAGCTTTTACAGAGTTTCCAACAAACTTACATTCAAAATGCTATATTTAACTTAAAATAAGATGAAATAAGGGTACAAAAAATAGGAATATAATATATTCCAAAAAGATGAACTTAAACAAAACTTCCAGCAAATTTAGTTACTAGTGCTCTAAATGAAATTTAAAATAGGGTGACGTAAGGTCATGGCGAAAAAGGGGTGGGGTGGGGGGAGGGGGGGAATGTGGTGGCGTAGATGCAGGTGTAGAATTGACAATGCACGTGACGGAGACTATTGACGAAGCAAGTGTTAGAGTAAGGTTGCAATTACGGATAACAGACATATTAACCTGTGACCATTGGGGCAGTAGCGTAGCGAGGGGGGGGGGGCGGGGGGACATATGCCCCCGGGCGGCGACCTTAGGGGCGCCAAAATGGGTTGGAAAAATAAATTGAAAGGTCGAGGGGGGTGCAATTCGAAATTTTGAGGAGGGGGTGCAAATCGAAATCTTGAGAGGGGGGGGGGTGCAAATCGAAAGTTTGAGGGGGGGGGGGTGCAAATAAAAATCTTGAGGGGGGTGCAAATCGAAAAGTTTGTCCCCGAGCGCCGGGAAGGGTCGCTACGCCTCTGCATTGGGAAGACAGTATGGCGGACAGACTGGGCGTAACACCTAGGAAGTTATCAGCAGGGTCTGACCTTTTAATTAGGTACGACAGAACTGTGGCGATATCCAAATTAGGTCAGGCTTGATGGGGAAGGCAAAGAAGTTAGGACGATGAGGGTTAGGAGACAGTCGAATCTAGGCAGTCGGGGGTTGAGACTTTGTAGAGAAAGGACGTAGACAAGTGTGGAGTTAGGGAACAGTGTAGTGACACTAGTGTAGGAAACTTTGAACTGTCAGTGTAGGCAACAAGTGTATATTATGTAGTAACGTGAAGCCTATTATATTCAATCATCGGATGTATAATAATTAAATGTTGTGTATCAAGTTGATCTTCGAGTTTTTAGTGAATGCACGGAATTGAGAGTATTCTCGTCCTCGTCACAGTATTAAACTATATGTGTGAAGACTGATAGTACTTCGTTCGTATTTAAGAAGGAAAGTAATAATAGAATAATAACAATAATAAGAAAAAGCAATTTCCCCCACCACAGAGGGAGGATAGTTGCTTTGCTTGGAATGTTGGGCTGGGTGAAGTATTGTTTCTAATACATTGTTTTACCTACCGAGTGAGCCAAGGGATATAACCTCTCCTAAAGTAAAATGTGTGTATTTTATTTGTTGTTTCCCTTTGACCAGTCTTATATCAGTCGCCGCATGGTTCCTACGGTCATGTCCCCTGTAAGTCTTTAGTACATGTCGGTCATTGTCGCTCACCTTCCCACGGGTTGTCTGCAGTGTTTCTTCCAGACTTTTTTCTCCGGGGGGGGGGGGGGGGGCACTTGAAATTTTGGGGGGGGGGGTGGTAAACTTTCTACGGGGGGGGGGACACACACTGTTAAAAGTATATTATATTTTCTATATACATTATATACATTTCATTTCGTTCGGGAGGGGGGGGGGTACAGATGCCTGGAAGAAGCTCTGGTTGTCTGGTCTGTTGTTTAACTTTCCATACATCCACTGTGCTGTGTTCTTCGTTCGTCCTTCCTTATCGTATCGTCCCTGTCGCCTCCTGAATTGGTGTGCTGTATTTGTTAGGCTTCCTGCTGTCTTTAGTTCTATAGTTTTTTGGGGGGAGGAAGGGGTTTGTTGGGGTGGAAAGTGTGTGCAGAATTTCTTCCAGGCATCTCTTCGGGGGGGGGGGGGGGGGACGAGCCCCCATGAAGAAAATCTACCGACCCCCCCCCCCGAAAAATATA